TCAAACACGTGTGTTCTTAAAAAAATGCAAAATGGACAAAAGAAAGAAAAAGGAGGGGGAGGGAAGTATTTATTTGTCTTAATCTCTCTCAGACATATTTCATGTTCTAGGAATAATTTTCCCCATCATTCCTGATTCATGCAACTGCTGTTTTATTTTATATTCACTAAAAGGCAAGGGCAAACGGACATCCGCACGCTATGCAAAAGGTCTAAATGCCGAAAATGTAGAAATACATCATAGCACACATTGTTCCTAAAAATATTTGCTTCATGAAGTTGTGGAGGTTTTTTTCAGTCTTAGTAATTTTGCCTTCGGGCTTGGCTATGAGGGCTCGTGACATTCACAATAGACAGTCAGTGCAAGACTGCAGGAACAGATTGCCCAGAATAAATATATATTCATTTTAGTGTATTCTGCTCCATAATGAACAGGCATTCCTATTACACTTGTGATAGATGCTTTCTCAACTCTTAGCATGACTAATATTCTGAAGGAAAGAGACAAGCTAGTGAGTCAAACTTATGGATACAGAAGTAGGATGGAATAGCAGTTGTGTATTTATATAAATGCAGGAATTCTCCCCATTGTCTTCCACAAGCAGCATAAAATTCATCTAAGAAAATACTCTCCAGGAGTTAAAGAGTCTAATTTTGACCTCTCTCCGGTTTTGTATGGGTGCTGCTGATGGTTCTGAGTTACTAGTGTTCCAGTACTAGTACTGCACTAGATTCTTCAGAACTGAGTCAAAATCTTGTGCCTGGGGGTGATGTGAAGAAATAGGCTAATGTTGAACTTCTTACAATATATAATTTTTCTTCAAATATACCATATTCCCTACATATAAATCGAGGCATTGAGATTTTGCAGCAATGGGTGCTAGTTTAAAACACTTAAGCAGAGAAAGTAGGCAATTGCTTAGTAAGATTTTGTATTGGCTTCAGTCCAACGCCTTTTCTTTTGTTTGAGTACACTCCAGTGAATGGTACTTCACCGACTGGTATAAATAACCAAAGCAGAATGTTGCAGAAATAGTGTAGATGTACACACAAAGTAGGATGGAGAGGCAGAAGACTTGTATTTATTAGCTGCTCTGTTATACTATGTGTTAGGCAAATCAGCCTTGGCTTTGAGGAGCAAAACTTCTTTGAAAGCCAGAGTCATGAGCAAAGCTTGGATACTTAGAACTTCTGAATATTAGATTCATTGTTTCTGCCCTTCTTTTTTCTTTCTACAAAATGAATATAAAACCAGCTTTTGATACGTATTTTTGTAAATTCCACATAAAGTGCTGTCTGTTATTTGACATGACTATTACAGTCCATAATACGTAGACCAAACTGACATCTTTTGGCCTGTAAAAAATACTTCACATTATGTGTATCTGAGTTTTACATGCTACTCAGTACACTGAAGAAATGGTTTGTGCTGTGTTCTTGATACTGCTTTTTCTTCAAACTTTTCTTGAACCGTTAACATCGCTCCATTTTGTTAAAATAAGACAGTGCAAACAGTCATGAAATCATAGAATCCGAAAAGAATCAGTATAATTTTTTTAATCTAATGACCAGATAAATATTTAAGTGCTAGTAACCATTCATTAAGCTCATAACTTGCCTTTGAATCAGGTATTTTGATGGAATCAGTGTGGATGCCAGGAGGAAAAACCTTTTAAGTCAGAGACTTACACATGTGCTTAAATTTAAGCACAACCTGAAGTGCTTAATGGATAGGAAGGAACTAATGCTTCTGGCCCTAAACATCAAACATTTAAAGTAGATGCATTAGTGATAACAGAAGTACAAGATCTGCCTCCCTGCTCTCACCACTGCTTCTAATGTGCTCCACATCTTAGGAAATGAGACCAAGTGGACAAAACAGAGGGTCTACCTGTTAAGAAATGCCCATTTTCCTTTTTCTCTGCTACCATTTGTATCGTACATGACCATCAGTAAACTCCTGTGTAAGAAGTGCTTAACTCCCATGAAATCATAACTGTGTGAAAATTGGCCAAAAGGAGCACTAATGAATGAAATGCTTGTGGAGCCAACAGGACATGGTCAGTTTTTACTTTGCCTGATTCTACTTTTCAAGACGTTTTGTGAATACAGTAAGAAATATACCTACTAATTAGCCTCCATTAGCAGATAGTAAGAACCCTTAAATACTCTTTTAGTGCCTTAATTAACTAAGAGGGTTTACATAGTCTCCCTTTCTTTTTCTTCTCTTTGAAAGAAGGACATTTATCTCTGCTTGGCATACATTTCTTCAGAAAATTTCCATACCCAACAATTTGCCACACACAGGTATTAACAGCTTGCTGTGAAATCCCCTGATGGATTTCAGCTTCCCTGAAGTTGTTTTACCACTGGCAGCACTGGCTTGTTATTTTGTACCTACATGGAGTTGGCTCTAGTTTAACCAACCGGAAGGTGTTGCTTCAGACTGCCCGAAGAGCAAGGATTGCCCATTTAGAGATTAAAGCACCCCTGAGTGAGTGTGTTTTAATAGCAGATGCTTCTGACAAACTGGGCTAGCTTTGTGTTTGCCGGGCTGCCAGAGGCCAAAAGCATTCCAGATGTGCAAGGTCTGGCTACACTTACCTGCTGCTACAGTAAGGGAATATACATCATGAATTCTTTAATTATTATTGCTTTGGACTAAGTTTGCCCAGTGTAGAGAATAAATAGAAGACAGCAGACATTTGAAAATGCACAGATGCAGCCATATGAAGAGGTAAATTCCACTATTTGTATGGATTGTGCCATAGTACCAGTTATCAGTTATGTTACCTAGGCTAGAATTTTTTTTTTGGTTTAAGTTTTGAAATCTTGAACAAACTGCACATCTCTAATAACTCAGTTTATGGATCTGGCCCTGAATCTTTTCACATCAAAAGTTGTTACCTCTGTTTATTTCCAATTTTCCTGTGTTGCCTACGTTATGTTATCGTTAAACTTTCTGTTGTAGGAATCTTCTGCTCAATTTGACTTATATTTGAAGAGCCTTAAACTTAATTTCTCATTCTTTATATCTGGACCTAAGGTGATCCTTCTCTGATTGTTTCACCAGTTGTATGTATAATACAACTGCAGCACTAGGTTCCATCAAAATTGAGTTTTGCTTAGGTAAAATACTTTCAAAATTGAATTTATGCCTTTTAGAGTTGAATGTTTTTATTTTTTTAAACTTTCTTAGGAGTTTGAGCCCTTGCAAAAAAATGTAATCCTGGAAGCACATTTCATAGACAGGAAATGTGTCTGCCTCCTTCTTTAGTTTTTCTGCTTTATTTCAACCTCATAAAAACTGAGTATCCTTTGGGATTTTCAGTTGTGTTTTGATTATGCCTCAGGTTAATTACTTCAGCTCATTTTTTGGTGGGCTTCAAAAAGTAGTGCTCACAAGCATTGAGCTGTGAGCTGTCACCTGTCAGATGATCGGGATGTCTAGAATGTAAAGCTATTACATTTTGACATTAAAGGACCAACAAGAATGTCACTAGATCACCAATTTAAACTGCTGCAGCTAACCTGTCTGATTTTACCTGAAGCAAACGAGGGAGGGATGACAAGAGTTGCTCCCTGATAGGTGGGTAGGAAGGGCAAGGAGAGGAAGTGGTGAGGCAGCCTCTCAGGCTGGGGATGGGGAAGGGTTATCAGGAGAGGTGGGTCTGGGAGCCAGTGTCTGCCCATGGGTGCTTACAAAGTGCACCTGTGGGTTTTGCCATAAGTGTCACATTTGTTCAGGGTTTCATTGCAAAGTATTTAGGAGGCTGGAGAAAAGACCACCAATACCTTTGACTTACACTCTGCTGCTCTACAGCCTGTAGACTCCACTTTGGAAGTAAGTGTTCCAGTGTATGCCCTGGCTTGTGGTTTTACTGAGGCATATAAGCATCATGGGATGAAAACATCATGGGATGGTGTCCCCCAAATATTTTAATGTTGGGATAGATAGTCCGGCTGCTGTAACTGTGCTGTGACAGCTGGAGCTTAGGGAGCAAGTGGGTACAGGCTGGAGCATGCAAAAAATTCAGACTCGTGCCCTCAGTTTTCCAGCAAATCTGCTGGAGCATCTGTGCTGCAGGCTTGCATTTCTCAAGTGTCCGCATTCCTCTAAAGTGGAATGAAATATTAGGAATGCAACTGATACTTTGGAGAGCACTTTCTTCTTATAACTCCTGCTGGTGTATAGTAACAGATTAACAAAGTTTGTAAGGACATGTGCTCCTATTACTATCATGTGTAAACAATCCAAAGGCCTTTCAGAGGAGTGGTTGGGAAAAGGCTATGAATTATGTGGTGGATTAATTCCAGGAAACTGTTCTATCAAATCTGAGGTTAATACTAATAGCCTGCTTCATAGCTATTATTTCATTATTGTTGGTTTTTGTTTTTGGTTTTTTTTTCCCTTTACCAGGAACTTCTTTTCTAATGTGGAGGATTTTGAATTAAATCCATCTGAATTTGTCTGCAAAATATTTGAGTAGAATTGTCTGAAGGTAGTGTGTTTCAAATAAAGCCCTCTTCATAAGAAAAAAGAAGCAAATGCAAGATGACAGAAAGATTTCCCACCCCTCTCCCCTTTTTATATCTCACCTAAAAGATTGTGATAGAAATAATGTCAGAGTTTGGGAAGCAGAAGTGGGTATTTTTTTTCCAGGTCATCCTGTCCTGTCCCTCACCCTTCCACCTCCTCTGGCTTCTGAATTCAAAACGGTAAAGACTTGCCTGAATTGTGTCCCTAAACACACCTGTGTTTCGGTCTGCCCAGCAAATCGAGATGTATCCTTCCTCATGGGAGTATGACTTTCAGTGCAAATCAGAAGCAAGATGGAGATAGTGCATGTTAGAGAAAGCCAAAGGCAAAAAATATCCAGTGGTGGTTGGCCGTGCCTTGCAGACAGGACCTCAAGCATTGATAAGTTTCTAAGTATTACACTAAATGCACTCAGCATTTGTCTCATGCTCTGTTGTTAAAACCTGCTGTTTCTTTTCCAGGTGTCTTGTTTTCGCTGGTAGTTGTGATGTATGTCATCTGGGTCCAGGCGATGGCTGATCTGGAAAACTACACAAACATGAAAAAAATGGGTTGCCCAGACTTTGCTATTCATGTACGTTATGGCTGGGGTTTC